CACACACACACACACACACACACACACACACACACACACACACACACTCCCTTCTAACCCAGCTGGTTGGACTAGATATCTCATTTACTTTCTCCTCCCTCCCATTCTCTTTCTTTCATTCTTTCTTTTCTTTTCTTTTCTTTTCTTTTCTTTTCTTTTCTTTTTTTCTTTTCTTTTCTTTTCAGTCCACCTCCCCCTTGGTGCTACAAACTCATCCTCAGTGCTCCCCACCCCCACCCCCTATAAACAGCATTATTTGGAATAGCGGTTTGCATGACCCACCAAAGAGGATCGTAACAGTAAAATTCAAAATTGTAACAATTAATTGCACATTTATTCAAAATCCAATTTAAAAAAATCTTTTAAGTTAATGTTAGTTCAACAAAATTGTTGAACATGATCCAGTGATACCAGGTTTTCAAAGTCTGATAGTCATTTATCAAGAACCTTAGTATCTAGTAACTTGGTAAACTCAGTAAAATTTAAGAATTTACTGAACAGTGAAGCAGTTACTAATGCAATGGATGGGCTTGATGAAATGATACCAGTTTCCTAATGTCTGGTTTTAAGTCACTTAGCAGGAGTCTTAAATAAAGTTCAGGAATCTGGAGTCAATTTCTTTGCTTGGAGAGAAGTTGGATGACCACACTGAAACCATGTTCCACCAAATATGATGTTGGAAATGCAACAAGGAGCTTCTTAACTACTGTCCATAGTGCAGGATAGTGATCAGAAATTTCCTTCTGTAACCAAAATTCTTGGTACAATTTCTTAACCTTTGGCTTGGCAAGTGTCCTAATATTTATGACTGACCTCCCCAGAGCTACTTGACCTGTTTTGGAGTTTTGACAGCCATGTACACACATACACACTCACTCCCTTCTAACCCTGCTGGAGCAGGTCATTGGACTAGAATCGGCAAAGGGAAATGAGCACACATGTGCTTCATAAGGAGTGACTGGGTGGTGCGGGCGGGAAATGCTGTCAGCAATTGTTGTGCATGCGTGCAATGTCACACATACGCAATAAGGACTGACAACAGGAAATGGAGGAGCAGGCGGAGGAGGCAGGGCCAGCCAGTTGCCCTTTTTGCCAATTCTTCAATCTACTGGAACGGTAACAACCAGTTCTTGCGAACTGATAATATCTCACCCCTGAATTGTGCCGTGCGAGGGGCCCATCTCCAGTACCCCCTGCTGCCTCTTAGCGCCCCCCTGCCAGTCCCCTTGCCTCTTACTGCCCCTCTAAGTCATCTCACCGCCCCCCAGGGGACAGTACTTTGGGAACCACTGATGTATGTTCAGAACAAAGCACATGCTTTCATTTTCAGGCTATCATTGCTCTAATAATAGAATTGTATAACAAACCTATTTTTCCAATTATATAACTATGAGGTATTGACACAACATTTTAGTAATGGAAGGCTCTAACTGTAGTAATAAAATTCATTTATAAAAATTAAAGTAGCATTGCAGTAGATTTTATAGTTACTTATTTTCAGTATTTTTAAATTGTTTCAGAAACACCAAAGAAATATCCAGATATAATTTATCCAAATAACAACTCAATTGAAGTAAAACCAGGTAAGTAATTACTTCACTTAAAAAAGAAACCATTTTTAATAGTCCTAGGCAAACTCACTATAATTATTTGTGATTTGCAGGTTCCAGATTTGACCTGATATGTAATGTCTCAGCAGATCCTCTGGATAAAATGGTAATTGTAACCTGGATGTTCGATAATGAGATATTAAACACAAATGAGAAGGTTCAGTAAGTACAATATGTTGTTTTTCTAGGGGGTTCCAGATTATTACATTTTCACTCAATGCTGTGTTAGATATTTACATAAATATGAAGCAAGCCTCACTATGAAATAAATTTATTTAGCTTGTTGATTTAGTAATAGTGCATCAATGTACAATACTAATAGGAATTCCTAAAATGTACTTCTTAGTGCTTTCCAGACATTTTATAGTAAAGTGGAGGTATCTTATCTTGAGGATCTGAGTATTTATTCCAGCAGATAACAAGCTTTTGTATTTTTAAACTCTGTATCTGGCATATTTTTTCAGTTGAAATCTGCATGTTTTCTGTGAATTTCTGAGGTTTTGTGAAGCTATTTAGTTTTAGGCAATAGGTGCACTGTTGCCACAAGAGTAGATATGGCAGTATTAAACAGATATATTTAATTAAAATATATTAATGTTTCTTCTATTACATTATCCTGATATTCTTATGCCACAGTAAATCTTGGTAACTAAGTGCTGTATATGAGTGAAACAAAAGCTGAGACTTTGTTAGGCAAATGACAAGATCTAAATTTCTATTCGAGTACATTTAACTTAATTTAAATGTGTTCAAAATAAGACACCTAGCATTACCCAATTTATACAAATCAATATAATTTTCCTTAATTATTTTCTTCTTTTCTTTTTCTGTTTATATTTTCTTTTGGTGTTGTTAGGTTTCTTTCTGGAAAACAAATAATAGAAGTAAAATTAAACATTTCCAAAGTGAAAGACAGGGATTATGGAAAATATTTGTGTGAAGTATGGTCTGAACGTGTGATACAAGTAGCATATGTAATGCTAAATTATCCAGGTAACTTTATGTATAAGTCTATAAAGTGATGTATATCTTTTACATACCTAAAAGTATGTTTACATAATATAGGGAAAAGGTGCTTTGCTTGTTCATAAAGACAAACATCCATGAGAATTTTGCTAATCTTTATGTACTCTATGAAACACATTTTTTTTTTCTTTTGAGGAGGATGAGATTCCGAAGTTTCATATAATATTAGATCATGCTCAGGATGGACACAGTAGACTTGTACTTATTCTAATCTAGAAATAGTCATTAACCCCAAATGGCAAATGACCATATAACCATTTAAAATAATGGATTATATTTTATTACATTATGGATACTGTATGTAAATAAAAAACATTATTTGGAAAAATATTGCTGAGATATTTTCATCTTGTAAAGCTCTGCTTAGTTCCATAGTCTAATGGGAAAATATGTCACTATCTCAAAAAAGAAAGCAAGTGTTGACACTTGTTCTATCTAGAAATACTTGGGGTAGACTAGGAAGGCTAGATAAGTCAGAATTGGATAATGTTACTAGAGGTTATTGCTAGTGCTTTCCGCCAGTGACATTCAGTTGGCTTTCTAAGTGGACCTGCTGTCCTGTAAGAAGATAATGCTTATGAAAATGCCTAGAGGACAGATTAAATGAAGAAGTTGGCTTTGTATGCCTGTTTGAACGAATTCTCCACCCAAGGTCACATCAATATCAACCTAGAAAGTTTTTTGGAGTTTGATGATATCAGGGTTCCCTTCCTATAGAAAGTGATTGATACAACTGCTAATGGACTGAAAGATTCATTTTGCTATTGACTTTTGAAATGGTATTATGCTTTTGTTATTTTATTTTTATATCATTTATAAATCTTTTTGAGACTGAATGACCTATCATTTACAAGAATAAATAAACTTTAAAAGCTATAATGAAAAGTAATGAAGCATCATCATCTTAATCATCTTCTGTTTGGCAATAAAATGTGTTATTTGGATAATCTTCAGACATTAGAAGCCCCTTGTCAAAAGAATGAAATATTTTATGAGAATTTGCTTAGAAAAATGAAAATAAAATAGAAATAGTATAAATTGCTCATCTTATAAACATCTTGTGGCACTTACTAAGAATGTTCTCCTCTTCTCTTCCCTTCCCTTCCCTTCCTCACCTCCCTTCCTCTCCCCTCCCCTTCCCTTCTCTTTTCCTTTTTTTTTTTTTACAAATACAGCTCCAAACGTTCAGATTTATATGATTGGAGGATTGATTTCACCTTTGTTTATTATAGTAGCATCACTGCTCACTTACAAATTTTTCAAAGTTGACATTGTCCTTTGGTACCGGGATTCTTGCCAACATCTCAGCAAAGGAAGTAAGTTTGGCTTCAATAATGTGATGTCGTCTGATAAAGAATAAAGGTTTTGATGCTTTCTAAACAGTTTGCAACTTTTCTTTGACTTTATATCTTACCATTTCTGCTCCAAGGGACTAGATTATAATTTATTGCTAATACAAAGAACATATTTTTGTAATTTTAGTGTTTTGTGATTGCATTAATGAATTAAGAACTATGGATTCCCTTAAGTGCTCTAATAATGGATTGTTGATTATAAATCTTGTGGGATTTAACTTCTTGAGTTCTTTGGAAATTCTCAATCATCCATTTAGTGTCCCAAAGGTGCTTTTCCAAAAGGCACTTTGACTTTCTTGGTTTTTCTTTGAAAACATTTTTTAATCCAAGTCATGAGGCCACTTGGGCATTCATCTGTACCCTCGGAGTCACCTGAGTGCAAAGGGGTGTGGAACCTTCTTTGGACTGCTGAAAGGACTGTATTGTAAATAGGTGGTGTCATATCCCTTTCCCTCTGTTGAGAGGGCTGTTCAGTTTTAACATAGATGGTCTCTTTGAACCCTCTTTCAAATTAGTAGTCCTCTCTGTCATTCTGGAACTTCAAATTTCCAGAAAGACAAGAAAAAAACCAAGGAAGTCCAGTTGTCTTTTGGAAAAGCACCTTGGTGTAAAATTTTTGGGGAGGTTAGAAACATCAGTAAACAAAGAATTGAAATGTTAGGCTAGCTGCATTTATTTACAGGAGTTGAACTTAAAAACAAAGAACTTATCTGTTTCATTCATAGTTTAAAAAAAGAAGTCGGGGGGAAAGGAAATAAACCAAGGTGAATGACAAAACTGAAATTCCTTGATTGTCTTATCTACTGATTTTGTTTCCAAGTAGAATTTTAGAGCTGTAATTTTAAACTTTTATTTTATTTATTCATTTATTTGATTTGTCAGTCATTTACAAGATAATAGGCATAAATATAAACATGAATAAGAATACAGGAAATAGGTCACGAATAAATCGGGACAATAGGACAGGGACAGTAGGCACAATTGTGCCCTTATGGATTTTTTTTTCTCAATTCAAAACAAAACAAAGAGGACAAGATTTGGACACTTTTCCACACTCTAACCTCTTGCCTTCTATGGCTAGGGAAGGGCAGAAGAATATAGGAAAATAAAACTTCTATAAAATCTTGTACTGTGTACTGATTAACTGATATATCCTTTGTATATTATCTTGTATACTCTGCTGGACTTGCTTCAGCAGTCATTAGAAATTAACACTGACTTAAAAAGCATAAAATATTGATTGATTGACTGACTGATTACAGATATTTCTGTGCTCCAAAATGACACTAAGTGATAAGAGTTATTATGTCAGGAATAAAAGGAATGGAGAAAATGATTTGAATAATTATACTTTGTTTAAGGTGTAGTCTGAAAAAAATGAGATACTGTATTGGATTTTCATTAGTGATTTGGCTTTCCTGTACAGAATTTTAATTCTAACATACATACAACATTGTTACCTGTATTAGCTTTCTAACAACTCAGTAGACTAATTCAAGATAGTGTTAATACTAAATTATTCAGGAAGCTTTAGTAAGTGTCCAATTTTGAAATGCTGCTGGCCTGATATTTTAATTTATTGCCAGGCTTAACCTATCCCAATCAAACCTAAATTGACTTCCCACATACCTGTAATCATTGATCTAATGTTAATCTCCACAAATGTTAAGTTATAAAAAATGTCAGAGAATGTTTGGTTAATAAGCTTACATTGTAGTTTTTGTTCACCATGAGGTTATGATGAGCTTCATCTATTTAATTAGTGATATTAAAATATTGGTTGATCTATACTGATGTCTTTTTATGTCTTTGCTGGATGTATTTGTTGCCTTAGTTAATAATTCAGGCACATGAAACGTAAGTCTCTATAATAAATTATTCCTATAAACGTTACGGTTAACACCGAGTTGATTTTTCTCTTTCCTTCTAGCTTCAGATGAAAAGGTTTATGATGCATATGTGTTATATCCTCACAATGTATCAGGCTCTGTATATTTGACTGAAACCTTTGTCTTCAAATTATTACCTGAAATCCTAGAAAAACAGTGTGGTTACAAGCTCTTTATTCTTGGAAGGGATGATATGCCAGGGCAAGGTATGTATTTTTAATATCTGCACTTAGAATTTTTAAATTGTTCCTTAAAGGGCAACTCTTAAATAAAGATTTTGAAATGTTGATCTGGTGGTAAAGTTTATACTGTAGCATTCCTGATTGGGTTTTAAAACATGCACTACTTTGAGAACAAACACAGTTGTGTCCCTTGAGGAATACGGATAAGGATAAAAGGATTCCAATTATTACAGTTAGAACTTCATATACTTTCAAGGATTAGGGCATAATTATTGGTGGAAAAATGACTTCTGTGGAAATGGATAGAATCCCAAGATTGTATTTGACAGAATAAAATTGTCTTTAGTGAGACTACACAGGGTCAGTGCAGCTTACAAACTACATTAGGAGTTGTGATCTTCCTGTCTTTGACTTTAAAATAAGAAGTTAAATTGTTGCACAAAGAATTTCGACTATAAAAGTTAAAAGTGATACAATTACTACAGAGGTGGTATTCAGCAGGTTCTGACCAGTTCTGGAGAACTGGTAGCGGAAATTTTGAGTAGTTCGGAGAACCAGCAAATACCATCTCTGACTGGAGATTTTACAGTATCCTTCCCCTGCCACGCCCACCAAGCCACGCCGACAGAACCGGTAGTAAAAAAAATTGAATCCCACCACTGAATTATTGTCAGTAAGGCTGGTATGCTAACTGAACTACTACAGATATAATTTAAAATGGAAAAATATTTAACTTCCAAAATATCTTAGGAGGGTGTTTTCCTGTACAAGATTTGAGCAGCTAGATACAATGGTAAAATATGGATGGGATAATTGAGTTCCCTACCACGAACATACATGTATTAGTGGCATATCAGGAACTGATAATATATTGCATATATATTTGAGTGTAATTATATGGCATAGAGAGATCATTATCCTGAGCCACATATTTATAAGACAAAAAGCTGATTGTTACCCATATCTTAGAACAGCATGTTTTTGTACAGTTAGAATATAAATGTTACCTATAAACTGACCTCCTTATTGAATAAAATAATGCAATTCAGAGAAGTATGTATAATACATATATTAATGAGGTAAATTGTAAAGATGATAAGGACACTTGAGTTCAGTTTTTTATTTAATTATGTTGTTAAAGTTTATCACATTTTTTGTAATGTGATATGGCCTTACAGCTAATGAATAAAGTGTTAGTGTATTATATTGTGTAGCATTCCTGATATTATCTGGTAAGGCTGGAACAGAAGTCATCTCAAACCCTAAAGTTCCAGTGGCACCCCAAATCTGGTCCTTAGAACAGTAGACTAAGCTAGAAGAGATGTGTTTGTTTGAATATTGAGAAAAACAGTTTGTGATACTGTCTTTTTCTGGTAAGGGTGGAATTGTCTTATAAATTTTCAGGCCTTACTCTTGGTATTTTCTTCCATTGCATCTCATCTTCTAAGGATAATTCTGAATAATCTCTCCCTTGACTTTTTTCTCCTTATGACTTCACTGTTTACAAGTCTCCTTGTGGTTTACCGCCTCCACCTCCTATGTTGTTATGAATTTGGGATATTTCTGTCTGAGATGTTTCACATTCCTCCTTCATGATTTGGGCTTAAGCAACATTTTCCTTCTTACTGCTTTGGTATTCTTTATTTGCTTCTCTTCACTAAGATCATCGCTTTATTCTCCACATTTATGTTTTCCCTTTTGGATTTTCACTTTATACCCCTTGAATCTAGTGCTGTCTCAGTATCCTGCTGTCATTCTTCTATTTCTTTTATTGTATTTATTTTTCAGTGGCAATATGAGGATCATTTTCCTATAATAAAATGTTTAAAAGTCTGTATCTGTTGACTTATTCAAAAATCCTTGCAATATCAATTGTCTGGAATTCTATGAAAATTCGAGAGTATGGTTTATCCAGGTGTCTCCTTGATCTGTTCCTTCAAAGTCCTAGTTTGGATATTGTTTTTACAATATATCTACCTGGACAAAATGTGGGTGGTTTTGAAAAAGTGTCATTAGAAATGACTAGCCTTTTTTCCTTGGAGACATCTGCCTTGTCTTTGAGTTCTTTGGATGTTCTATCTGCTATGATATTTTTGGCCAGAAAAGAAGAGAATTAGATGTGATGCATAACTAGCTGATAATGGATAACTCATTTGTCTGTGTAACTATACAATAGGGGAAATGAAGTTTTCCAGAAGAAGGCAATTGCAAACCATTTCCATGTTGTTACCAAGAAAACTAGGGACAGGTTTCCATGAAGTCATTAGGAATTGAGATGATTCAATTCAGTTTACTTCTTTAGATTCAAGAAACGTGATCCATGTATCTAAAATTAACCAATTTTTATAATCAGTACCTGATTAAAATGTATGCCTTGCCTGGCCCATATTGATTTGGTGTTTTGTTTTGTTTTTCATTCACAGCTGTCATTTCTATTGTGGATAAAATGATCAAGCTAAGCAGGAGAGTGATCATTATTTTAATGCCAGATCTATATTGTGGTGGCAGGCAGAATTTGTTCTCTGAACAGGAACTTGCAGTCTACAGTGCTCTTATACAGGAGGAAACCAAAGTTATACTGATTCAGCTAGACAAAATAAAAGATTTCAATAGTATTCCAGAATCCCTCAGATATCTTAAGCAAAAGCATGGCATACTCACATGGAGCGGAACTTTTACAGAAACCACTGAAATGGCAACTACAAGGTTTTGGAAGAATGTGAGATACCAGATGCCAGCCAGTCCAAGCCCACTTTCCTCAAACTTTCATTTTTTGCCAATAACTTTTCACTCTTCTCAGATATCAGATGGATGATGTCAAAGCCACACCTGCAGTGTTTACTTGAAATCTATTCCAGTGGATCCTTATAGATGCACAAACCTGTGCACCTGCTAGAGATTGTTCCAAGTCTTGGATCAACAGAAACACAATTCAGAACAGTATTTTCTGAAAGTTTATTTACCCATAGGCTGTGAAGTGCATGAGCTACTTGGGCAAGTGGCAAAATAATGTGAATGCTGGACAAGGAAGAAGTTGAAATTGTTTTTGCATACTATTGTTTTACATGCAAAATAAGTGAGTATGTAAGGAGCTATCTTATAAGAAAACTTCACATGAAAAAGAGTTTAAATCTAAACCCCAAGGGTTTAAGCAAAATGGTAAATATTGATCTAGCTTTGATGTTGATTATACCTATCAGAAAGGATTTAATCCTTGTATTTGAAGGCTTTTAAGGGTGAATTCTAGTCCTTCCTTTAACTGATATCCTTCCTAGAATTTCCATTGAAAAACAGCCTGTATGGCTATAAGTTGATGAGATGGGCATATTTCTGTCTTTTGAACAACAATGTCTATATAATACTCATTTGCTTGTACTGCCTTAGTTAAACGGAAGATTCACGATAGTTGCAAAAAATATTTTGGCATGTACTTTCTATATAGAGTTACTGTATATTCCAAATACACTACATATGGAACATGGTACAATCCATAAACTATGGGTATTACTATAGTATCTCCCAAGGAGAAAAATTGAAATGGCATATTTAAATAAATTGCCATACCAGGAAGCAAGGGTAAAGCGTGCTTTTTAATTTTAGTTTGACTTTTTAAATTAAACCCTTTTGTTATTAAAATAATTATTTTGAATTGAGTGATTTGTCAGTAGTTCAGAAACAATTGTTATATTTCAAATCACTAAATATATGCAATACAAGCATTTTCACCTTCTTTTCAGAAATTGTATTTTGTAGTAGGGGAATTCAGATTTAATAATTTGATCAAATATATAGCTATTTTTTGTATACTGTGGTACAGTTGTACAAATTATTCTTGTACCTGTCATGTCCAATTTTCAGACACTGCCTGGACAAGTTCTTGCAGTTTTCTGATGTGGCTTGTCATTTCCTCAGGTTGAGAAAGTGACTGGCCCAAGGTTTGCTTGATTGGCTTTGTGCTTATGATGGGACTAGAACTCACAATCTCCCGATTTCTAGCCTGATGCCTTAACAAATATATGACACTGGCTCACATACTATTTTTAATCATAAAAATGATAAAGAGGTCAAAACATAGTTCTGAGGCCTTGTGTAGGAAACCCAAAGGAGCATACAGTCGGGGGGTTGATTGCTGCCATGGGAGCCTTCCCCTTGCCTTTGTCAACTACTTTATAACAGGGTTTAATTATTCTTGCCTGCTTAATTGTTTTTATAATTTTTAAATTTTTTAACTTCAAATTTTAATATTTATACAAGGTTTTATACTTCAATATGTTATTGTACATTGTTCAGAGTCTCTCCTTACAGGAGATAAGTAGTTCAGAAATGTGAAATATAAATATAAACAAACAAATAAGTAAATCTTATAAACCACAAAATAAAGTTATTTCTATGAAGTCTTTGTGTCTTTGTTGTGTCATGTGCTGCAACACTCACCTGAAATCTGAGAAAGGTACCTGAAGAATGAAATCAAATGGGAAAGATTAAAAAAATTAAAACCACTGTATCAAAGACTTTTGAAAACCTGAATGGGAAAATACTGACATGTAATGTTCATTAATAGTATCCTATGTACCCCCCTGAGAAGACCTACAAGATTTTGGATATAACAGATCAGTCAGCTTCAAGCTTTGCCATGATTAATGCTCATTACAATACCTTACTTAAATAAAACCTACTGCATGCTTTATGTGGACTTGATTCTGAAAATTCTTTGGTTGTAAAGAATGTGGGGGATATAGGACAGGTTTTCCTGTGATATTGTTAAAGCTGTGGAATTGTCTTAGAAAATGAAAGAAGTGATCTGGTATAATCATTTTCAGCCTTTTGTACCTTAACCATCATAAATTACTTTGTCCATACCCCTGAATCCTAACACTTAGAGGACTTAGACTTCTATGCTTCACATGCTTTATAACCTTCTCTAAGCGGTGGTTAGAATGCAGTATTGCAGTCTAACTCTGCCAACTGTTAGCAGTTCGATCTTGACTGGAGCAAGGTTAACTCAGCCTTCCATCCTTCCAAGGTTGGTAAAATGAGAACCCAGATTGTTGGGAGCAATACAACTATTTAGAGAGGACTGTAAAGCACTGTGAAGTGGCATATACAGTGGAACCTCAGGTCGTGAATGCTTCTGACCATGACCAAATCAGGTGATGACCAAAAATTTTGGAAAATTTTTGCATCTGGTTGCGAACACATCTTCGGGTGACGATCAATGCAGCAATTTTCCCTGCTGCGGCAATTTCCCCTTCTGTGCCATTATTTATTTATTTTTTGGTCCACGCATGCGCAGTCAGCCTTGCTTCCGGTCACAAACAAATCAGATTGCGACCGAAATCCTGGAACTGATTACGGACATGACCGGAGGTTCCACTGTAAGTCTGTTATTGCTATTACTATATTGCAATATTTTGGCAACTGTTTATAATGATTTTACCTTAAGGAGAGAATATCAGAAAAGTGCAGAAAAAGCAACTGAAACAAATAAAAACCTTTACTGAAGAATAATCAGGAGCTATAAAATTCACAGGAATTATGCTGGACATTCTAGCAGCCTCTGACTAATCCTTGCAGATTTCCAAAAGCTAAGCAGGTTCAACTTGGAAATCTGAAAAACATTTTGGAAAAAGGCAGTCAGAAACTGCCTGCATTTTTGTAGCTGCCAATAACATTAAATGACTTAATTGTTAATAGTTTAATAAAAGCTAAGTTTAATTATTCAAATCAAATTGATCCCTGCAAATGTAACTGAAAGCAGAGATAATGTACACAGTGCATTTGGAAAATTAATTTTTGTAAGACAACTTGTGACTTTTGGAAGATTCAGCCATTCTAAACAACATCAAGCCAGCTTGATGAAAACAGCCAATCCTTAAAAGGGTCTTTGATTACTTTGTACAAAGAATTTGTCTGCAAAAGAGAGAAAATTCCAAGCATATTTCCCATCAGTCCCCAAGTACTGGAAACACTGTATGTACAATAACAATGGGTGTGTCTATAGAGCCCAGGAAGGCATTTTGGAATCTTGAGAGCATCACAATATGCCACCAATTAGTTTTTAGGGAATACCTAGGCTTCTACTCTAGAACTGATTGACATCCTCCACTTCATTAGGACACACACGCTTGGACCCAAAGCAACAGAATGGCAGCTATCTGGACGTAATGTTGGAAAAATAGATTCAGTCGCTCCTGCAGGGCTCAAGGAATTCCTCAGCAGCCTTGCTGAGGGCTTCATTTTCCAGAAGGCCAAAGCACAAACAAGTGGATCGCTCTCCCAGATCTGACAGTGCAAAGTGGGAAGAAGAAGATCCAATAGAAAGGGAGGGAGAGAAAGAAGGAGACAGAGCTCGCAAGCCTGAACAGTTCAGTCAAGCAGGGGATCCAACAGGAACCTTCAGAGTGCAGCATAATTGTGAACTTCTGCCTATGCTCCACTTTATTTATTTATTTGATTTGTCAATCGCTTACAAGATAATAGGTATAAGTATAAACATAGTTATGAATACATGAAATGGATACATATAAGAAAAATAAAAAGAAACAACAGGGCAGGGACGGTAGGCACATTGGTGCGCTTATGCACGCCCCCTACAGACCTCTTAGGAAAGGGGTGAGGTCAATAGTAGACAGTATAAGTTTAAAGTTTTGGGGGTTTGGGGAAGAAACCACAGAGTCAGGTAGAGTATTCCAGATATTGACCACTCTGTTGCTGAAGTCGTATTTCCTGCAATCAAGTTTGGTGCAGTTAACCTTGAGTTTGTATTTATTGTGTGCTCTTGTATTGTTATGGTTGAAGCTGAAGTATTCATTGACAGGTAGGACATTGCAATATATAATGTTATATACTATACTTAGATCGGACCAAAGGCAGCGTAGTTCTAGATTTTTTAGGTCTAGAATTTCAAGTCTGGTGGCATAAGGTATTCTTCAACAAGTAGAGGAGTGGAGAACTCTTATTGTGAAATATTTCTGGACTTTCTCAACTGTATTAATATCAGATACGTAAGGTGGGTTCCAGACTGAGCTGTATTTGAGTATTGGTCTAGCAAATGTTTTGTATGCTCTAGTTAGTAGTGTGTTATTAGTAGAGAAAAAGCTACGTAGGATTAGGTTAACAACTCTTAATGCCTTTTTGGCTATGTAGTTACAGTGGGCTCCAGCACTTAGATCATTAGAGATGAGTATTCCAAGATCCTTGACAGAGTTTGGATCATCAACAAGGTCTTGACTATTCAGCCTGTATTTTATTTTCTGATTTTTTTTTTGCCAATATGTAAGAGAGAGCGTTTATTTGTTGAGATTTGAAGTTGCCATTTGTTTGACCATTCTGATACATAGTCAAGGTCTTTTTGAAGGATAGCAGTATTGTCTGTGGTGTTGAATAGTTGTACATCATCAGAGAAGAGAACGCAGTTGCTCTTAATATGATCACAGAGGTCATTTATGTAGAGTATGAAGAGAGTTGGTCCTAGAACACTGCCTTGGGGGACACCATTGTTGACAGGCACAGAATTTGATAGGACGCTCCCAATTTTGACCATTTGATGTCTGTTTGACAGGAATGCTTTAATCTAGTTACACAGGTGTCCAGAGATACCATAAGATTTGGATGTGCGGAATAGCTAGCATGGAACGAAACTGCTTGCAATATTTAGGAATTATTATATGCGATATTTAAGCGAACTAGTCCGAAAACACTCCTGCGTAATTTCTACCGCGCGCCAACTGACAGTCTCGCCCTGGTTTCGCGCGAGAAAGGCGAGGCTTCCGAGCGGACCCGATTTGTTCGTTCCCGCCAACGCCGCGACTGGCGGCCTCCTTTTCGTTGCCGCCTCTGCGCCGGTACTGTTGGCCGGGGCGGAAGTTCTCTGAGTTTGGAGCGCAAGTGCATGAGGCGAGATTGCAACAGCCGTTTCTTGTATGCACACAATGGCGCAATTTCCGATCGAAGAACTCGGCGCGCCACAAAAACTTCTCCCACAACATTAGGTTCTCACAAAAATCCTCCCACCCACCATGTTGGGCAAATGTTGGGCAAAACGACCTGTTGCTTTCTTACTGCTGTTTCTAGGTGCTCTCAAGTGTCCCGGCTGCGATATTGAGAGCCTCTTGATTCCTGTCTTTCAATCCCGCCCTCCGGCCCGGCCCATTTTCCAATCCTCCCGGTTGATCCTAGACTGGAGTTACAACTTCCACAGAGAGAGAGAGAGATAGCAGGGTTATCTGTTGCGCCGAAAGGTTGACTCGTGACAGGTTACCGACGCCTGTCCTTTGGCTCCCCTCTTGGTGCGTTGCAGCCAAGTCGTCATGCAAGCCTAACCGGTTCCTAGTCAAGCGCTCGCGTTTATGCCGCTCGAGGAGCCGCACTCGGCTGCCGGCTGCGCAAAATCAGGAAGGTCGGTCCCGATTACCGTTTGGATGGTAGATCACCAAAAAATCACCCAGTGGAAGTCGAGAAGTCACCCCAGAAGAAGGCAGTGGCAAACCGCTTCCTTTGTGTTCCCTGAAAATCCGCGTGGATATATCCATGGAATTTGTAGCGAAGGTCCACTTGAGGGAATTCTTACCTATTTATCCATCTTCATGGTGCCTTAAGATCGTTCTTGTTCAGGGCAGGTGACTATACTTTGTGTTTGAAATACTTGGGGCTGGGAATCGAAAGGTGTTGGGCGGGCTCCTTCAAACCATTGTTTATTCATTTAAATTTATATGCGGCTCATCTCACGTTCTGGCACTGATATGGTATGAAACTTCCCATCTGCGGCAAACATATTGAGGGTGACATCAAGAGATAGAGAGAAGAACGATGGATAGACAGACAGACAGACAGACAAGAGAGAGAGAGAGAGAGAGATTTTTAGCGAAAAGCTTCCTTCCCCCCACCCCCCGCAATACTGGATTTGCCCCGTATTCCGCAACACTGAATTTGTCTGTGCGCTGAGTTCGGATGCCTTCTTTATCGGGAAACTGGTGGAACCGGTTTAATAGGAAAAAAAAGTAGCTGTTCCGCCATCCCTCTTCTAATTTTCTATTTCTTTTCCTGACGGATGGTGGTTTTGAGAGCTTCCTTCCGGAGGGAAAGTTTGCCAGCAGAAAATCAGAGGCTCCTTCGTTGCCTAAAAATCCCTTTTCAGAGATAAGGAATTATGCAAATCAGCCGTGTGCAAAGCAGTCATATTTTCCACCCAAAGTTCACTTACTTTAACAGTATTACCTGTCATCTTGCATTTCCTTATAGAAGTTTTACGTCAAGTTATTTTCACAGGCAGAGCATTTCCAGTGAAAAGAAAAGACTACAGGATTTCACCATAAATTGCTAAGAATTTTTTAAATCTATTTAATAGCTTCCTGTCTTCTCAGGTTAGTAGATTTTAATATTGTTACATCATCTTATCGTTACCTATGAAATGATAGCATAATAAACTACAATATTAGTTTATTGTATTAATACAGTATTAATTTATAGCTATTGTGTTGTATCTATATAAATCCCATTGAACATAATTTCTGAAACATAAATAGATTTTCTTATGCAGTAATGGGATTGGCTATTTTGCCAAATAATTGCATAAATATTTTGGTATATTTTTAAGTTCATAGGTTTTTATTTAAATAAACTTCATGTTATTTTTTCTTTTTAATTAATATCTGAAGATGGACATAATATTCCAGTTTTCTAAACAGCTTGCCCAATCTTGTAGAAATGTATCCAAATCATTTTGGGATTATTGTAGATTTTACCACTAGTAGTGTATATTTTAGGACTCCATGAGATTTGGCATTGCTTATGAACTCTCTGTGACTAATAACTAGCAAATAGACAATATTTTAGTTTTAAATGAAACTAGACTCTAATAAAGAATGCTGGTTTGTTATATTACCTGAACATAAAGTAACATAACAGATAACAGATATCAAAAGAGGATTATACATTCAAAACAGCAACATTTTAGTTAATTACCAGAGTAATTGTTTTGAATTGACTTATTTTTAAGCAGATAGTAATGATATTGGAGTTGGGCAGTTAGCACATGCAAATTAGTTTACTTTATTGTCATTGCACCTCGTACAACAAAATTAAATGCCATCTTCAGTGTACATTATACAGTAACTATAAAAATAAAACACAAACACAAATCCTTTGCATTTCCTACAATTGAATTGAAAACCCCTGATATTGCATTAATATTTTACTATACAGTACTGCTCTGGCATAGAGCCTATTTTTCAGCTTATTTGTCCTTGTTTTTATTATCCTGTACTGTCTGCCAGATGGTAATAATTCAAAAAAACAGTGCTCAGGATGAGATTAATCCTTAAGAATGTTTTGAACTTTCTTAAGGCAGCGGGATCTATAAAGCTCTTCCAAAGAGGGGAGAGGGCAACAACCAATGATATTCTGGGCAATGATCTTAACCTTCTGGAGCGCTGTCCTATTGTGCAACTGGTGCAGTAAGTTAAAATACTCTATGGTGCAGCGGTAGAAGGTCACCAGCAGTTTTTCATTCAGTTGTTTCCTGAGAAGTCTAAGATAAATTGTTTTCTGAAAAGAAGGCAGAGAAGTATAATTTCTGCTGGGCCCTTTTGACCAGTGCTGCAATGTGAGCACCCCAGGTCAGGTCCTTTTATATGGTAAAACCCAGAAACTTAAAACTGGCCACTTGCTCCACTTGGTCTCCATTGATAAGCAAGGGCTGGATGTCTGATCTGTTCCTTTTATAGTCCAGTATAAGCTCCTTGGTCTTATTGGTGTTAAGGAACAAGTTATTGTTTCCAAACCATGAAAGCAACTGGTTCACCTCATCTCAATAGGCAGACTCATCCCCTCAGAGATGAGTGCCACCACTGTTGTATCATCTGCAAATTTAATAATAGTATTACTGGCATGAATGGGAATGCAGTCATGTACATAAAGAGTATAGAGTAAGGGACTCAACACACAATTGTGTGATGTACCAGTGTTAAGAATAAGGGCTGAAGAGATATGATTACCTAATCTGACCATCTGAGGGCGGTCAGACAGGAAATCCATAATCAAAGGCATATTTATAATATTAATAGATAGATGATAGATGATAGATAGATAGATAGATAGATAGATAGATAGATAGATAGATAGAT